AAGATGTCAGATCAAAAAATAAACCACAAATAAATTTGCATAGCAGACAAATGGAAAGTAGAAAGAATCTTTCTGGGGTTAAACACACTTTTGAGTGAGAGAGTAGAGCAGACTCTGGCTTCATGGACACATTTCTGAGAAAAATGCCAGACTCCTGGGGTGTGGAAGGAATTGCCCAAGTATGGAGAAGCTTTGACTTTTCTGACACTTGCCTTCATGACTGACATTGGATTTAAATACACACACACACACACACACACACACACATTGTTTTGCAACTTCACCCTCCTGCCCACCTAAAATGTGTCGATTTGGATAAATCCATTCTCGGTCTCCCACACAGAGTTGCTGATAAGCGGAAATCTGAGGTTCTGTCTTTCTGTGGCAGAGTCCCAAGCACTCTTTGTTGTATTTTCTTTACGTGGCTTCTTGATACGTATTCCTGGCTTGGCACAGTATTAACTGGGAGCAGTGCCAGGCTTCTTTAACCTAGATTTGTTGAGCCTGGGGTCGGTATTTCTTCACAAACACTGATGGCATTTTCTTTTCTTAAAATAATAGAAGTTAAAAGAAAATAAAAGAAAGAAAGAATTGTGTAAAGAGAGAAGTATATTTTATGTGGCCTCACTAAAATTCCGTTTGGCTGCCTCCAGCGCAGATTTTCTTACCCTGACTCTGCCCTGCAGCTGTGAAAGGCCAGGAGTTTTCAAAATGAGGTTCAAGTGTGTGTCCTTGCATTCCTCTCGGGTTTTGAGTTGTCCGTTGGGCTGGTCCTGCGCTGGGCAGCTCGAGTGACTTTCTCTGATGGAGCTTAGCAGGCGTGTTCAAGATGTGCTTTGCAGTGGCTAGCGGGGAAAGGACTTGTTTTTTCAGATAATTACTTTTCATCTGTCACCTGCATTCACAGCGTCCTCTATCTGTAGGGACAGGGAATACATGCTAGGTAGTTTCATAACTAGTTGCAGGTTATTCTAAAATTGTGATGATAAAGTGATCCAAATTAAAAACAAAAAAGAGTACTAGGTCTCGCTTGCACCAATTAGCCTATCCTGTGGGACGGTGGTGTACTTTCCTGACACACTCGCTGTGCATGTCACAGAGAAAACAGCACGCCTAGAATTCACACAATGATTTTTCCATGCCTTCCTGCTCTTTTGGGGTAGAATATGTTTTTCTCAACCTGTCAGTGACCCGAGTTCTCACTTTGACATACACAAAGCAGAGTGTTAGGGAAACCTGTCCACAGTCACCCAGCCAGCCAGGGTCACCCGGTCGGCTCACCGCAGAGCCCAAATGCACGTCTGAGCGCTGTTCCTGCTGGCGCCCTGGCTCTGTGGTTTCGATGAGGGCTCAACCAGGACCTTTCCTGCCAAGTATTTGGACTGCAGAAGCACGTGTAAACAACACGTGCATTCCGTACAGGCAGCACCGGCCTGCCCAGGCCAGGCTCCAGCAGGAGGGGATGCCAAGGGCTGGAGTCCCAGGTGGCCTTTTTCAGTGCGGAAATAGAGGTGTCAGCGTGGCTACTATTGTCCACCAGCCCACGGCATCCTGAAGTGATGGGCGTGGGAAGAGCATACTGAGAAGGGCACGGTGGCAGCAGAAGGCAGAGCAGAAGAAAAGAGAGAGGAAAGGAGGAGGAGGAGGAGGTGTTGCTTCTTGGCTCTGGAGTTAGGAAGCTGGGTTCAGGTCTTAGCTTTATAAGCTGCCAGCTCTGACTTTCACTCATAGTGGGTAGTCTTCCCCAAATGTACTAGCGACAAGTGGCCATGAGCCGTCATTATCTGTCAGATAACGAAGACCTCGTGTCCTGCTGGTTCCCAGCACTGGTACTAGAGGCCATGTGGAGGGTTCGGCCTGGCTGTTTCAGCTGGGAGGTTCTGCTCGGTCACACAAAGAAGTGCGGAGATGGGTGCTCTGGGCTAATCGGAGGCTCCCTGAGAAAAAAGAGCTCCCTGGATCCTTCGCACTGCTTTTCTTGGTCGTCTGCATGTTTGCAGAGTGGCTGCTGGAGCTCTAGCTGCCACATCCTCATCTGAGGGAGCAGGATGGACAAGGGACCAAAGGAAAGCCCAATGTGTTCTTCACAAGAAGAATTCCCAGAAGTGCAACATTTGACATCTGCTTGGTCAGAATTTATCCTAGGCTCGGTTTAAAGAGCCTGGGAAGCGTAGATTTCACTGATTCCCCATTTTGTTTGAGCCTTTTGTGTGGATGACAGTAAGAAACACTGTGATTAGGGAAGTGTCCTAGAAACGAAACTGTTACTCACGATAGTGATGGTAACTCACATTTGAGGTACCACGGACTCCGTGCTTACAATTTCATACAAATATAGTGTGATTTTCACTGAATATAGTGTGATTATCCCCTTTTGGCAGAAAAGGAGCTGGGGCTAACGATGTACATGGTTTGCCCAGGGCTACGTCACCAGTGAGTAGTAGAGCTGGAGCTCACAACCACACGGCCTTCTCCAGATCCTAAGTGTTTAAGCTTTGAGTGCTTTATGTAAAGAGTTCTGAATCTGAGTGGAAGATGGAGCTGGCATCTCACAAAGCTAAGACGTGAACCCAGCTTCCTAACTCCAGAGCCGAGGAAGATACACCTCCTCCCGCCCTTCCTTTCCTCTCTCTCCTTTTTCTTGTAAAAAGTACACCGTGAACCCAATACAAACCTCTATTCACAGGCTTTGGCCCCACATTTCCCCCAGCCTTTGTTTGATTCTGGCTGATCATACCCTGCTTCTTTATTTGTGACACTGTGCAACATTTGTGTTGGCCAGGAAGCTGTGTATGGGAGCTATGGGCAACTTGTTACCTCCTTAGTAGCACTGTTTTGTAGGGACAGCCATAAAAGCTGCTGGGGGTCACGGGGTGGTAAGAAAGGTCCTTTTCCCAAAGACGGTCACAGGCAGCTCTTCAGAGAATGGGTTTCAGACAAGCCTGTTAACGTCCAATTAGGCCATGACACTCATGCAAATCACCACCGACCTAGATGTAGACACCCATTTGGTCCTTCTAATTACATGTGTCATTGTCCCTCTGATGGCCACCCGTCCCTGTAAAGCACTCCTGGGAAACTCGCAGAGTAAGTCAGCAATCTATTTTAGCACCTTTGTACTTTTCCCTTAAACAGCGCAGTTTGTGTCACTGTTAGTAATCACAAGTTTGTTAGTGTCAGCTTACGTAAAGAAGATGGAGACTCGGTTGCATCACCCATTATGGAAACTGGGTGTTACCGGGTCTGCCTGTAAAAATAATTTAATTCCTGTTCTATGACAGTTTGAATAGTGTCAAAAATAAAGAGCAAGGGTATTACGAGCCAGAGTCCCGGGAAGGCTGGGTGAAATTTGGGGCCTGAACCTGTCTCTACAGTTTTGTATCAGGTTCATGGTGCACTTTTTACAAGATTCGAGAAAAAACAGTGTTTCACATGACAGATCAGAGATAAGAACCCATCAGCCAGGGTAGAGGCTGATGACAGCATCTCACACAAAGTCTCCACTGAATCTGTCACTGTGCTTGGAAATCAGATACTAAGAGAAGGAAGTGCAAAAACTTCCTACGGTGTTCGTTTTTTTCTTTGCTTGGTTTTCCGGTGCACGGAGTGCTTTATGTAAAGTTACTTCTTTATAAATTTCTTTATAAAAAATACTGTTCTTTTATGTCACAGCTACCTATAAATTATTTCTGCCCCCTTTCCTGATTAGGTACATGCAGAAATGTTTTGCCCCATAATGGGAAGGTGATTGCTTCCCATTGGTGTAAATGTACAAGCCGTCTCTTTATTCATTCCTGGCCGTTTATTCATTCCGAACACGTCAGGTACTTTATGTTAGCTGAGCTCCATCCGTTTGAGAAGTCAGTTCTTTTTCGTGCTTAGGTCACTTGTCGTATGTCATTGCCAGACACTGCGTTATAGATCCCGAGCCTCCTGGCTGTCCTAGGCATCCTTTTCATCTTTAAAGGCTCGGTTAACTTCACTCGATCATGGAAAACTTGCAGTTTCTAGTTGTACTTGAAATAGTGGGTCTTATTATGACCTTGAGTTAATTTTACTTGGAAAATTTACAACTTTTGGCCCAACCATAATGATGAACAGTACTCGTGTAGAGTTTTATGGTTAAACAAATGGAAATGCCGATCTGCACTGTATTCTACCCTTTCTGTATCACGGAGGTAAGTGCTTTATGGTCATTTGAGATTTCAGGCCACCACCCTGATGTTAACATGACCGACACAGTCCCTGCCTCCAAACGCGGTGTGGGGGAGAAGGCCGTGTGTGAGTGGTTTGTAACAGGGTCCTGTGCCAGGTCAGTGGCTTAGAGAAAGGAAGTGACTTGGCCTGGGTCACCACTGGAACGTGACAGGAGTCTAGTGTGTACTAGGTGCCTGAGCTGCATGGTCAGGGTGCAGAGGGACTTGGCGGGTCTTGCAGAACTGTGTGTAGCTGTTAGCCTCTGACCGGGGTGGTGATGTAATCAAAGTGGAGAAGAAATGTTTGCACAGTAAGGCGAGAGCCCGTGGGTAAAGGTGGCAGAGAAGTGGACAAGCTCTGTGTACTAACTGTCAGACATAAGAGAAAGCCCTGAAGTAACAGAGCGGTGTTCAGGCCAGCAGAGGACACATAGAGGATGTGGTGGCGGACTGCACGGGAAGGAAATCGGTGGCTGATGGGAAGTACCCAGTGCCAGGGACGCTGTCAGCTGGGAGCCCCAGGAGCCTGAGAAGTCCAGAGCAGCCGGCCACAGTCCTTGCGGTGCCTTCCAGCAGCGGAGCTTTGGGAGCGTGTCCAGTGGTGGTTTCTAAACCAGGCCCAGGGTCCCCGCTTTCCCTCTGCACCCAGCCTCAGCCTGGGCCCGCCCTGTTCTGCTCTGTCCCTTGGTGGGAAGAGACCCAGCAGCCTGGAGGTGTGGGAGAGCGGGGCTGTGCGGCCCGGCTCGGCCTGGCGCGTGGGGACTGGGACGGTGCTGACGGGGACCCTGCCTTGCATCCTCCTAGGCATTTTTTGTGGACCACAACTCCCGGACCACCACGTTCATCGACCCTCGGCTCCCGCTGCAGAGCAGCAGGCCCACGAGCGCGCTGGCCCACCGGCAGCACCTGACCAGGCAGCGCAGCCACAGCGCCGGCGAGGTGAGTGCCGCGGGCCGCCTGTGCCCCTGGGGACGCGGCGGCCTCTTGTCGTCCTGGGCTTGGCTTTGGGTTTCCAATGCGATCTGAAGAGTATCCATCACCCAGAGGCTGGAAAGCTTTGGGTTGTTGATGGCTTTCTGGAAGTACAGCCTTAGTTAAAAATATAAAAGGTAGAGCACACGAAGAAGCAGTAAAGAGCAGCATTTTAATTCAGAGGAAAGTGAGGGGTTGACGATGTGTAAGAGACGGCAATGGTAAGCTCTTTTGCACGCCCACGGTGGAGTACTACTCTGCTGTAAAGAAGGACAAACTCGAGTCATTCATAGGAAAATGGACGCACCTTCAGACATAATGCTAAGTGAAATAGATCAGACACGCTGGCGTAAATATTGGACCGCTTCTCTGATACGACAAACCTAAACTGTAAATATTTTTTTAAATGAAGGGTAGATGAAAAGAAACGGGGAGAGAGATCTTTTGCTAATGGAAAGGAACCAGGAGACAGAGGCAGGGGCAGTGGCACAGGGGAAGGATTTGTAAAAGAACTCAGGTATGTCATGCTCGAGGGCCAACCATCTGCAAAGGATGTGGTCACTATGAATCACAAACACGTCCTAATGAAAATAAAATGAGAAGACGTGGATGTACGTTTTGGTGGGCTGAGATTCTGTTCGTCACAGGGAAGAATTTCTTGAGGTTTGCTGGCTTCTGTTAAAGCAGCTGTCAACGGTGCGGGCTGTGGAAGCTTCTCCAGTGTTCTTTCAAGCTAGACGCCGCCCGCCCGGTGAACCTGTGCCCAGGGAAAGCACGCTGCCCGAGAATGACTGGCAGCTGTCCTGGGCTCCGCCTGCCCGGGCCGCAGTGGCCCGTGGAACCACACGAGGGCGCTCCAGCGCTCTGACCCAAACACCGAGATCTCGCCTTTCCCTTCCTCCCTCCCTAGCCTGAGTGAATAAAAGGTGTGTTTCAGTTCCCTTCTCCTTAGGGTGGGTGTATGCTTTGAATGTAGTCACTACTTGATGTATGTGGTTTCTGAAAATTCCCGGAGACAAATAGAATTAAGATTCTTTTGCTGCATACCTTTTCTGTCTCGGTGAATATCATACTTTCAGTGTTCTACTGTAGGTCAAATATTTTTGTAGTGTTTCTTAAAGAAAAAAATTATGAATGCAATAAATAACTGGATTCAATTCATCAAAATTCTAGTCTTGGAATTTCCCCTCATGATTTATGCGCTTGCCCTAGTGCCTCGTGTGCTTACTGGTTTGGTGCAGACGTAGAATACACACAGGGAGGCCATATAAAAATGATATATAAATCTATTGCAGGGTGAGGTATGCGGCAAAATATTTATGTTTTATGAGTAGCTAATAAATCTTTACCTTGCTGTCATATAAACCATTAGTGGTGAGCTGGAGGACACTGGGAGCATATATCTTAAAAACAGAGCAGACCTCTCACCTTTGGACTGTGTATATATGTAGCATGATTATGACTCGGTGTGACCTTATCACATGGCCGGTGCCCTTTAGCCACTGACCTTTTCCTGACTTCACTCCGCGCAGCCCGGACCGACTGCCTTCCTGGGAAACACACGTAGCTTACTGCCCTTTCCTTTCACACCTTGTCCCTCAGGACTGAATTATTTCCATGGCCCAGGAGAAGCCTGTGGCAGGAGAGAGGTTTTAAGTGGTACATTAAAATGTGAATGAAGATTTATCTTCCTGTTGTTAGAACGTGGACTGTGGAACCCAGGGACCCCACAGACTCAGCGCTCGGCCTCGGCACCATTAGAGCTTGAGGGGATGTTCGCGGGGCGCAGCTGTCGGGCCGTGAGCACCTGGAAGCACTCCCCGTACTTCTCAGAGGGGCTGCTCCCTGCCCTGCGCTCTGAGTTCCAGAAATGAGATCTCAAAGGCCTTTGGCTGCTGGGGGGTGGGGATATGTGGTGGCACACCGACAGGAGGGAGACCACACAAAGGTGGTGTGTAGAGAGGCTAAATTCTGACTGACAGATGACCTGTAGCGAATGGCTGAACCTCTGAAGAGCGTCTGAGTCCGCTCCTCAAAGCCGAGGGGTTGGGAGAACCAGTCATGAGTCTTTCCAGCCACGGTCCTGCACTCCGATACTCAGACGCTCCAGTCAGGAGAGCTACTCATGTCTCCTCCCTCCAACAGAGTAATGCCAGAATCCTACCACAGTGTAGAGATACGGTGGCTTCCATTCTGAGGAATAAAAATAATTAACTTGTTTCTCTTAATAAGGAGAGAAAGTACAAAATCTCAGTTCAGGTGAATAAAGTATGAGTGAACGATCTCAACTGTTTTCTTTTTTAGTGGTTGAGAAAGACAACTAAGGGGCTGGGGATATAGTTCAGTGGCACAAGTACCTGCCTGGCAAGCACAAGGTCCTGAGTTCAATTCCCGGTACAAAAAAAAAAAAAAAAAGGAACACTGTCCCGAGAAAGACAGCTACTTCAGTAGCCTTTTTAGATGATTGTGGATTTTTTTTTCACTTATTTCTTTCCAGATGTATTAAGGTATAACTGGCCAATAATATAAACTGTCCATAAAGACAGCCACTCTAGAAATGGATGTCAGGTGCTCCCAGAGCTCAGTAAACGTTGCCTTTAGCTTCACTTGGAGGTGGCTTGAAGGACATTTTGAAGAAGGAGCAAGAACATTCTGGAAGGGTGGGCAAGCAGCTGGTTGTGGGGAGACTCTTGGTAGTGTGGAGGCCTTTGGAAAGTCCTCAGCAAACTTCCAGATGTCATACGAGAAAAGGATGGTGAAGGTTTTCCATTGGGCAGAAAGAGGAGCTTCCTATGAAAGGCACCAATTTAGAAATCCAGTGGGTAGTTTTGCTTCTTCTTCTCTGACTCTTTAACACCACGGTCCCCTGCTGCCTCCAACTCCTGGGCTACAGATGGCAGGACTAGAGGAGAACCAAAAGTAGCAGCAGAGCCTGCGGCACCCGGGTGATGGGTGTTCGCAGTTGTCTGCGTGTGTGTGTGAGTTTCTAAGCCCACAGAGGTACAGGAAATGGTTCGGGTGAGGGCAACTAACGTAGCTCCTCCTCCACACCTGCCACTGTGAGCTCCCGGACATGGGAGGCTCAGCCCGGAGAGCCGCGGTGCGGGCGGGAAGGGTGCGCAGGGTCGCCTCTGAGGTGACAGCACCCACTCGGGAGGCAGCTGCCTGGAGCATCCGCTCTGAGACTGGGAATCCCCTGCCTGCCTCTGCCAAAAGAGGGCATCTCCTGGTGCAGGGCCAGAGCATGTCCACCCCGTTCTTCCCGTGACTGGAGGGTGGCAGGTTGGGCTTTTGTCAGTGCAGAAGTTATTCCTGATTGACAGGTCTGCTCCTTAGCTCCAGAGCCTCGGCGATTACACGCGAGTCGAACCACTCTGTCACCTGTCGTCACCTCTCAGGGAGATGGTGCCTCCGCCTTCTCCCCTCCCAGCCCCCAGAGCAGGGCGTTCAGGGCCGCCACTGGCGCCAGTTCTGGTGGGTTGGAGTCTGCCAGGCTGGTTGCTAAGCCTTTTGCACAGCTGGGTTTGGGGTGTGGGTGGCTCTGTAGGTCTGTAAACGATGTTTGCCTCCGCAGGTGGGAGAAGACTCCCGGCACGCGGGGCCGCCCGTGCTCCCCCGGCCGTCCAGTACGTTCAACACAGTCAGCAGGCCGCAGTACCAGGACATGGTTCCAGTGGGTACGTCACCCTCCCGCGTCTGCCTGTGTTTCCTGTCCTACACCACGCGGAGCGTCCGCACAGCTCCTCTTGTCAGTTTATTTGCCCTGGATTGAGAGACTATTCCATTACCCCTAAGAAATGTCTAACAGAATAGAGGCTTCCATCTCGAAGGGCTTCAGTCTTGTAGACTTCTATAGGATGAGGCGTTTTCTGTGGAGAAGTATTAGCTTGTTGCAGTCAGGGAAAGACAACTTACTAACACAGCGTGGTACTCAACTATTATAAATCAGCATTTGGAGACGCATAGACTTAGGATATATTTAAACTGTGAGGCTGAATTTAAATGGTGCTTGAACATGTGGTGGCTTCACAAGGTAGCCAAGCAAAGACTCTTAAGGATTTTTGGAGCAAGCAGAAGGCAGCAAGAGCCTGCTGAACAATAAACTCATGCTAAGTGGATACAAGCATAAAGCTCTAAAAAACGGCTAACTGGTGTTGTAAAACTGATGAAGCTGAAGTAGATTTGTGGTTGTCAGACCCGCAGTCCCTGAGGCAAATGCAGTGGGAATACAGATGGAAGGCCACGGACGTCTCCTATGACTTGAATCAGAACAGATGTATACATTGTCTGTTGCTACTTTAAAATTTGTACTTTAAGAACACTTTGCCATGAAATGCAGCATAGTGCCCAGGACTTGCCGGGCGTGGTGCCTCACACCTGTAATCCCAGCACTTGGAGGCTGAGGCAGGAGGAGCACCACAAGTTCACAGCCAGCCTGGGCTACATAGTGAGTTCAAGGACAGCCTGAACTACATAATGAGACTCAGTCTCAAAAAAACCAAAGAAGAAAAAAAGTTCAAGAACCACAGACTAAAAACAAATCTAGAGTCAAAAGCTATCTACACTTTATTCTGTCATTACTAATATGACATTAAACATGGCACATATAATTTCAAAGTGTTGTAAAATTGTTCCATACAAAGTTACCTAGTTTCTGATCATGAATGTAAATATTGATTCAATTTTATAAGTGCCTTCAGTACATATTAATGACATGTATATTTAGGCACACTTTGAGTTACACTGGAACACCATTTTGGCAGGCTTGTTAAAAATGTTTTATCCACATGTAATTAAAATATGTATGTACAGGCAGAATAAGGCAATGTAAAGTTTCAGATGGCAAATGTCACAGAATTATACTTCTTTTGTGTAATCATCTGTCAGTGAAAAGCTTGTATCTCAATCATATTTACAGAAAGAAGTGTTGACTGGTCCTGGATCTCTGATATTAGAGAATTCATGCACTCAGTCCGAGTTTTGTGAATTTAAATGCATTTATGCCTATTACTGATTACTAGTAATATAATTAACCTAAGTCATAGTAACAAACTGATAAGTAAGCAAATAAGTTTACAAACAAATAAGTAAACAAATTCCTTTTCTTGACAAAAGAGATATTAACAGAGCCCTTACACAACTGTCATGAGCTGTCTCTAAATTTCTTTCGCCATCCGTGAGTAGGAGGCAGCCTTGCAGATGTGCCTTGAGTATATGGGAGATGATGATTGTGTTGGCGTTGCCTTGGTAACGCGCTGTTTGTGGCTTAATGGCCTCGAGTTTGGGAATGTTTGTCCCCTGCGTTGTGACTGTAGCTATTACAGGCAGCTACTGCGTTTGGGGGGCACCAGGCTGCCTCCTTACCACTCTGACTGTCTTAAGATTTAACCAGAAAAGAGTTTTCCATTTCTGATTGTTGTCATTTCTGTGAGGTTTAGTTAAGTAAACTTAAAAAGGCCGATATTTAGTGTCTTACTGGTAAACTTTTCATTTGATAGTAAATGTGGATCATTACATGAGTTTAATAAGAACACTTAAGTAAACCGCACTTCCCGGGTCTAAGGCCAACAATCACGGAACAAGTTAGATGCAACTGGAATGCCCGCCTCTGTGATGGCAGCAGCGGGATGGTTTCAAACTATTCATTTGAGTGCAAGGAATATTAATTAGAGAAACAGATTTGTAAAGTGTGGCTTTACATGCACAAAGCTAATAATAGAATTTTTAAAGTTATCATCTTTTCTGATTGTTTTCAGCTTACAATGACAAGATTGTTGCATTTCTGCGTCAACCCAACATCTTTGAAATTCTGCAGGAACGTCAGCCGGATCTTACCAGGAACCACTCACTCAGGTAACTAACTGTGGCACTGGGACCTGACTGAAGCTGCACAAGCTCCAGCCATTAACTCTTGGTAATCAGTTTATAAATTCACCCTTTGCGACATTCTTTACGAAGCCATCTGATGTACAAATATTTCATGTCACTAACACCAAGTCGTTGTGGCCCCGGCTTCTCTTGGTTAAATGTAGGAGTTCAGCAAGACTAAGCAACCCAGAAACCCCTTTGAAGAAGATATATGAGAAAGCAAAAATTCACCGTTAAGAATGCACCCTAGATGTGCAGATTATGATGAAAACAGTAAGACACCCGGTTTTCCAGTGTAGCTTCAGTAAACAAAGTAACAGTTTATTGACTTGAGATCTGCAAAGTCCTCGACTCTGGATTCACATTTTTCCATAATAAAAACCACAGTGGAACCCAGACAGGGCGCTCATTCTCTTAGAGTCCAGCTTTGCGGCCCGAACCTGTCTCGTAAACAGCTCCTCCGTGCTTCCCTCAGCGCCTCCTGCTCGTCTTCCCCGGCAAGCTTTCCTCTTCTCAGGTTGGCAAGAAGGGTGTCTTTCTTCTGAAACTCAGGGCAAGTTCTTCTTCTTCGAAATCGTTTAGCTCCGCTGTGGACTCCTGGTCTCATGGGCTAGGCTAGTGCAGTGCTACCACAGTTCATGAGCTTCATTCTTTCCACGGATCTGGTCCCGAACCAAGTCAAATTTCCCCACACAGAAAGTTCAGGGTCGGCAGATGGAGCATTCGTGAATGGGAGCAAAATTTAGCCAGATGCTTCTGTTTGTGAACCAAGCTGTTTGCAAACAGAAGCATCCGTGAACCGAGGTTCCGCTATATTTCTCAGTCTCTGTACGGGGCGTCCGTTGGGATGGAAAGCGGAGTTTCTGTTCAAGATCTTACATGACCCAAAGCCTGTCTAGTCAACATGTGCCTTTACTAGTAAAAATATGTTATCCTGTAAAATATAAAGCCCCAGCCAGATGTTGTGGCACATGTCTGCAATCCCAGCACTCTGGGACGCTGAGGCAGGAGGATCAAAAATTCCAGCCCCGTGTTAATGACTCAACAAGATCTCACCTCACAGTAAAAAAAGTGCTTGGGATGTAGCTCAGTGTAGAGGCCTTGGCTTCAATCACCGTTACAGGGGAGAAAAGTCTCACTCCCGGCCCCCTTCCCTTCTCTGAACCTATCCTCCTACCCTTTACCCAGAAATTTAAATCAAGGGGTCTGGAGTAAAGCCCAGGCATTATTTTCTTTGAATCTCTCTATATCATTTTTATGGCACTTCCAGGTATAACTTCCAGTCTAGACGCTGTTGATGATTAATCACATACTGTATCAAACTGTTCTTTGTACTCTTTTTAGTATTTGGCGTTCATGCTTTAATTTGATCTTTTAAATTTGTACGCTTTATTTTCCAATTAGATTATATGAATAATCTAATAATATGCAAATACAAATTTTATCCAACTCATTATCCTTTTCCTTACTAATCCAGTATCTAGAGTAGTACTTTGCATACAGTGAATATATAATAGATTGTTTGTTTGAAAATAAATTACCAGATATGACTGTGATTTTCTCAGTTTCTCATGTCTTAAAGTTGTTATCACTTTTACAACTTCTAAAGGCTAATATTACACAACACTTCAAGTACATTACAGATGTTGCTAATAAAGAAATCCTGCTCTCATACAGCTAACATCAAACTTTACCGTGACTGCTTTCCCCCTTCAAGCTGCATATTCTAGATCACACACAGACAAAGTAAAAATAAAAGTTATCTAAGTGTGGATTTTGAGGTTGTTTATTGTGGCATCCTCTCAGCAGGCCGTGGTCCCCTCGGGAATCTTGTGCAAGATGTTTTGGTTAATGAAGTTGCAGAAATGAGTTTCTCAGTGGTCTACTTACCAATTTTAGAGACTCTGAACCTCAGAACCAAACAAACAAAATTCTTCCTTTTTTCACTGATCCCAAAATAAAGAAAGCTCTGTTTTCTCTGAGTCAATCTCATCCAGCCACAACACCCCTACAAGCGCAAGCACATGCACACACATGTGCACACACATGCACACACACAGGCCCCTCTAGTTAATATCTTGCTCTCTGAATGTGCCTCAGACTCCACAAAAAGAGTGAGAAACAAGAAACTCAACAAGTTTTCCCACTTTGCTCTGTACTGCACATTATAACTTTAAACAATTAGCATGTCTTTAACACTGTGCCTTTGGGGCTGTTAGACTATTGAATTTACCTGAAATCGATCATTGTTCTCTATGGATGTGACAGAGCCTTAACAGAGTCGCACTGGGGATAGCTGCAGGTGCGGTTGGGAGCTTCTGGTTTTATTATTTTCTTCCTGCTTTTTAGAGTATTATGAATGTCCAATCTCCTGACAGTTGCGGAAGATCTTTTATTTTTTAGTGGGATCCTCAGTTAAACACAGTCTTTCTTCTAACGTAGATCTCACATGGTGATATCTTACTAAGAACTTACTTGATGGGCTTTGAAATATGTATGCATCTCTTTATCCTTTTAAAAAAGCTTCACAGAACTTGACCGGGGAAAGCTAATGCAGCTGTGACAAGTAGGGGGAAGTAGGGCTTAAACCAGTGAGCTAATGCCTCTCCTTTTACCCAGAGTATGGATCACACCACACTTTCATTTTCTGAAAAGTTTTTTTAGCAGTTAGGCACTTTGCTTATCATAGCAACATGAAGGGGAAGTTGTGTATCTGAGGGAACATTCTGTTTCATACAGTTACGAACTGCATCATAAGGAATGTTCCCACAAGTGCAAGGGTGGAGCACCGGCTGGTTTTATTAGTCTGTGTTGTAGTGGTATTTGTGATAACACAGTGCATTGGTCACCTTTTCATCACTCTTGCAAAACGTGTAATTAACTCATAAAGGGGAACTTTTATTTTGGCTCATCTTGGATATTCTGGCCCCTGATCAGGCAGACACAATGGTTTTTACGCCTCTGTGGGGGATTTGGGCAGCAGTTTGTTTGGCTTGCAGGCTCAGCGGGGTCAGTCCACGGCTGGTGGCTCCACAGCAGAAACAGCACTGCAGACGCGCCTGGCAGAGAAAGTTGCTACCTAGTGGCAGCCAGGAAGCAGAGAGAGTGGTAAAGCCCGGATGAGAATGCACTCTTTTTTTTTTTAAATTTTTTTTTTTTTAATTTTAAAGAGAGTAGTAAATGAGCAACAAACAAACAAAAAATAGAACAGTAGCAGCATACCAGCATCACAAATATAAACACATCAAAGCAAGAACATTTAAAGTGATACAGGGTTTCAAGACAAGAGAGTGCACTCTGGCAGGCCACATTCCAGCGACCCTCCTCCAGCCGGGTGCCACCACCTAAGAGCACACTCTGCCGAAATCTCATCTGTCCATCCATAAACCCTCTGATGCTTACAGCACCCTGTGATCCAGTCACCCTCTGCACAGGAGATTTTGAGGGGACACTTTAGCTCTAAACCCTAACACCAGTGTAGCGTTCGGTGCAGTCTTTCTTATCTCCGTCACAGGCACTAAAATAATCATTCTTGTTTCCTCCTTAATAGAACGAGGAAGTTTTTAATGTTTTTCTTTTTTGTAGTTTCTTCTAAGCCAGCAGGTAGCAAGCTTTTGGTTTAGATGGTATTCATGTGTAGCTCCTTCTCCCTTGAAATGCCACTGCATGTATTTCCTGTGGAACGGCTGTGGGTTTTCATGTGAGAGAACCTGGCCTTTACCCTCAGCGGCTACGCTGAAATCACTTCTGCTGACTTCCTCTGTCATGCAAGTGTGAATGCTACCAAGTTATTGTCGTTCTTGTGATTCTCTCCTTTCTTAATCTTGGAAGAGGTTTACTGCCCCAGTTGGGAAAGTCAGCATCAGGTGTGCCCCCTTCTGTAGAGCGGAGTGCGTCTCCGTGGCCTGTCGCACCGACTGCCATTCTCATCAGAAGGCCACAGCCCCACCACATGCTCACATGCTGTGACATGAAGACAAGAGTTGAAATAACAAGGCCTAATTTGAGCTCTAATTACAAATGTAGTCATTTACAATAGCTTGTAAGACTTTGTAGGTGAATATAATGCACCCAAGTTCAGTAAAACTTGTAGTTTTGCTGTTTGTGCAATAGTCTGTTGTGAGAAAGAACCTGAATGTCATAAACCTGAACTGAGCTGAGGATTTCCTCTCTTCTGCCATTACTGTGTCCAGCCAGTAAACCTACTGCAGGCCAGGTCCGGTCTCCCCAGACATCAGCGATAATTACTTCGGGCACGAGGATGCTTCTTCTCTGACTGACATGGAAATTCCCTTGCCACAAGAATGTGATCTGTTGTGCTTTTTGTTGCCTCGTCTCCAGAATGTGATCTGTGCTACTGTTCTATTGCATAAATCAGGCCATTCTGCATTTCGTGTTATTAGTAAATCAGTTACTTGGAGGCCAAGAAAGTCTGAGCCACAAAAGGCAAACGATGTGTGTTTTTAGATTCACCAGGTTAGAAACAAGAGCGCTCAGAGCTTCTGTAGCTTCCATCATCCTATTTTGAGAGCCTTGTAGCTTTGTTGTAACTCAATTTTACTCTTAATTTAAAACATATTTCCCCATTTTAAAATGATCAAACAATGCAGAAGGTTATAGAACTTCTATAAGCTGGCTGATAATAAACTCCGGTGTTCAAAATTTGTAACCTATTTCTTGTCCTGTTTATAGCAAATGAATTTTTCTACATTTAATAGTGGGCTGAAAATATTAATATCAGTTAAACATCTGAACTCCTTGGTCTAAATAGCATGAGTTTACTTCTGCTTATCCTGATGAATTTTCTTTTTCTTGTTGCCAATATTGGAGTTTTTCTGTTAATACCTGTCCAACCATCTCTGAGTCCTTCTCTGATTTGTTTATTGGTCATTCAGATGCCTGGATTGCATGACAGTCATCTGATCTTTCTTATACTAACTTAAAATAGGGTGAAGTCCAGATGGAAATTGTCATTCTCCAGTGGA